AGGCAGGCACACGCCCCACCGGCACACGCGTCCCGCGCCACGCCACGCCGTGCCGCGCCGAGCCTCCTGCTCCGGGCTGCAGGGAAGGGGTGTCCCGCCGGGGCTCAGCCTGCACCCCGCGTCACCCCGTGTCACCCGCCGGGACCCCACGAACATCCCCGGGTTGGAGAGGGGACGGGTGTCCTGGGTGGGAGGCGATGGGCTCACGGTGCTGCTGTGGGGACTGGGATGGCAACCCACATTTTTGTGAGTACTTCTCGCGGCCAGGGACCGCGAGCGACAAGGACCAGGGCAGGAGAGACGTCTCTTGCACCCCGGCCATCGTCAGCCTCATCTGCCAGCGTTGCATTTCGGGACATCACAATCCCTTTTTGGGGGGTACTTCTGTGGTTCTGCCATTACCGCCACAGCAATATCCAGCTCCCAGCAAGACGGACAGAAATACTCCTTTGTTTTCCAGCCCAAGGGAAGGTGATCACAAAAGTCAATGCATGCACCAGCCGCAGGTACCCAGGCACTCCAGAAGACGCACAACAGACATTGCCCACAGAAACTAGTGCAAGACACAAGTCTGAATTCCTCGGACTTCCCTGGTAGTTCACTTTGCGCTATAATTTTGGATGTGCTTAGGCATTATCCGTGAAAAAACAGGTTAGCTATAAAAGCAGTGACTTCATGCAACAAAGTACCTAGACGTGGAAAAACTTGAAGAAAACTATGTGAAATGCTTTAAAGGAGGCGGCTGCTGTCATACAGTCATCTCTTTATGTCACATTTTCAACACATTGCCTGTCTTTCAAAAGCAGAGCTGGTTACGCATACGGTTCCTCAATATGCATAAAACTCTCCATCTACAACGAAATCCTCTCTTCCAAGTGTAGAGTGTCCTACTGAAAACAGATCCATAACCACCATGCCCAGAAGAGGTCATTAGGGTAACATAATCCTCCTGTCCATGTAACAAGAGCCAGACAACCTCAAACTGTGATTCCTGTATCAGAGTAGTTGTGGCTGCCCCGTCCCTGGAAGTGTTTAAAGCCAAGCTGGACGGAGCTTTGAGCAACCTGCCCATGGCAGAGGGTTGGACTTTAAAGGTCCCTTCCAACCCAAACCATTCTGTGACTCTGCTATAAGCCTTTATCTTCTACGTGAACTATGACTTATTACTTAGGAAGAGCGTTAGACATAACACATTTTGCATCCAGAGGAACAACGCCCCTTTTCCTTATGACGGGTCAATACATTGCAGATGACCCGTGCCAGATCTTAACCCCACAGCAAGAGCAAATTCTGCCACCTCTACAAGAGCATGTTTGGCACGTGTAGATCCAAGAGAAAGAGAGAGAAGGAAAGGGAAACAAATGTTTATGTACAAAATAATGATTTCTATTTACCTGGTGATGGGCTGAAGTGCCCGATTAGTCCTGCTGTGATTGCTTTGTCAATGGGCAAGTGAGGAATCCATGACAAAAGAAAATTCTATAACTCTAATTCTTCCCATAGGACCTCTGTGGTTGTTTCACCCATGTGATAAACTGAGGAAACTCTTGACAAAACTGCTTGCACTCTGTATAAGCACAATTTCACCCAGCCTCCCCCACCAGTCTTCATCTGCCAAGCTTTCCTGCAATAGCGTAAGCCTTTAAATAAGTTCAACCTGCTGCTGCTCGAAGTTCTTCTGCACAAAGAATATTTGATTCTTTCTGCCACCTCTGAGTTATTCCTCCTCCTACAAATAAACTGTCAAGAAGAACCTTAATTCAAGAACCTAAACTTGTCAGAAACAACAGGAAAACTCCCCAACACACTACTTTCTGTCCCTGAACACTCCAACGGTAGGTATGTAAAGGCACCTGTGCGACTGGACATTTATTTGTTTTAGCTCACTCTCTTCCACTGTGTCCTCCAGAGAGGAATTTATGAAGTCAAACTTGCAAGAGGGATCTTGCAAGAGCACTCTCAGTTTTAGTCCCTCCAGAACCTGCGAACCCTTTGCCTATTGCCACGTAGCTCTACAGGCAGCAAAAAGTCCTCAGGTTCATACCTGACTACAGTAAGATCCATTGGACACCTTCATGTTTTGATATAACAACACTAATTAGTTCTACAGATAGAATCGTAGAATTATAGAATCACAGAATGGTATAGGCTTGAAGGGACCTTAAAGATCATCCAGTTCCACCCCCCTGCCCCGGGCAGGGCCACCTCCCCCCAGCCCAGGTTGCTCCGAGCCCCGTCCAACCTGGCCTTGAACACCTCCAGGGATGGGGCAGCCACAGCTTCTCGGGGCAATTTGTTCCAGTGCCTCACCACCCTCACAGTGAAACTTTTTTATCCTAATATCTATTCTAAATCTCCTCTCCTCCAGTTTAAAGCCATTCCTCCTCGTCCGGTCACTACATGCCCTTGTAAAAAGTCCCTCTCCAGCCTTCTTGTAGGACCCTTCCAATAGTGGAAGGCGGCAATAAGGTCTCCCCAGAGCCTTCTCTTCTCCAGGCTGAACAGCCCCAACTCTCTCAGCCTCTCCTCACCGCAGAGGTGCTCCAGCCCTCGGATCATCTTCACGGCCCTCCTCTGCACCTGCTCCAACAGGTCCATGTCCTTCTTATGTCGGGGTCTCCAGCGCTAGACACAATATTCCAGGTGGTGTCTCCCCAGAGCGCAGCAGAGGGGCGCAATCCCCCCTCGCCCTGCTGGCCACGCTGCTGGGGATGCAGCCCGGGATGCCGGGGGCTCGCTGGGCTGCCAGCGCACGTTGCCGGCTCATGGTGAGCTTCTCATCCACCAACACCCCTAAGTCCTTCTCCTCAGGGCTGCTCTCCAGCCCTGAGGTGCTTGGGATTGCCCTGACCCACGTGCAGGACCTTGCACTTGGCCTCGTTGAACTTCATGAGGTTTGCGCAGGCCCACCTCTCCAGCCTGTCCAGGTCCCTCTGGATGGCATCCCTTCCCTCCAGCGTGTCGACTGCTCCACACAGCTTGGTGTCACTGGCAAACTGGCTGAGGGTGCACTCAATCGCACTGTCCCTGTCAGATATACAGATGTATATAAAATGTGAAGTAAAAAGTCCCTATGCCTTTGTGAACTAGAATTGTGGGGGAGTAGAGAGACACCTGAGATGCCGCTGATCGGCACTGCTGGAGCTCCGAGGGCTGGAAAAAGCAATAAAAACCAGCCTGGGGAAGGAGATGAAGCAGTGTAATCAAAGACCTGTGATAGTGTCATACCAAAAAAATAACCTGAATTACTCACTTTTTTATTTTTGTCTAAATAAAAATAGGATCGTTCAAAAAATAAGATGTAGTAGGGAGTTATTTTAAGGTATCAGAGAAAGATTAAGCAAAATAATGATTTAACACTCCTGTGACATAAACGTTTAAACAAAGTTATGATATCCAACGGAAAACAGCACCTCAAGTTCACTGCCAGATTGCTGTACCCTACATATAACTGCTAAATGAATAACCAGACGAGCCAATATAACAACAGAGGCATCGCAGCACGGCTCTTCAGAGCTGCTCCTCAAGATGACACAAGGTCCACCGGACTGTCTCGGTTCTGCAGAGTTGAGTGTCAGACCTTCTGCTGGTTTGTCTTTTGTTCAAACCAAATTAAAGACAGTTAATGCACATGACGCTTGACTAGGGCAAAGTATTTTAGTAGCATTATGACTCTCTAGAGGGACAAACCTAATAGAGAATCACAGAATCACAGAATCACAGAATTTTCAGAGTTGGAAGGGACCTCTAGAGCTCACCCACCCCACTCCCCTGCTAAAGCAGGACTGCCCAGAGCACATCGCTCAGGACCGCATCCAGGCGGGTCTTGACAATCTCCAGAGAAGGG